ATTTTCCACAATCCGGCCAGTGAGTTTGAGATTTCCATTTCGGAGGGTTTGTTTCTAGTCAATATTGAACACTCTCCCTATTTTGACAATTTAAAGCTGACTTCTTTGGATGACACTCAAAATTCTATGTCTACTAATGAACCCAATACATTTGCAAATCTTAAGAATTTCTTCCAGTCTACTTTATCAAATGGATTAAATGTGTTTCTCATTTTCTGATCAATGAATTTGAGAGACCCCTGTCTTCTTCTTTGGATAATCGTAATCTGATACTAGGACCACATGATGAAAGAAAGACTACATGAACAAAGACTACTACGAAGAGGGATGATCAAGATAAGCTTAGATTTCTGGAGTCAGATGTTTTGGGTACTCAATCTAATGCATTCACCTGGGATGAATTTTATGGCGATCCGTGCTCTTCTTTTTCGGGGGATGGTATTGTTGGTCATGTCTTAGAGAATGAGAAGAGAATTCCTATCTTGACAGCGAAGGATCTATGAGATTCTCATGCAAATTAAAATCGGGATATGTGTTCCAAAGCGTTTCTCATCACGTGAGAAATGGGCTATCCAAATCTAAGAAACAATGCTCACATCACATGAGGACGAGATCTCAAACATATGAGGAGATTTGAAGATTTGATTGAGGTCTAATACTAGGGAGAGTGTACCGGTGCTGCTTTGGGCTCTCTTTTCTTTTTGTTTGTTGTTTGTATTCCTTCATGTTTCCTTTTGTGTTTCCTCCTTTTTTGTACTTCGACATGCTTATTTTAATAAAACATTTCATTCTTTAAAAAAACATTTAAAGCCCGTGAGTAATTGTTGGGTTAAAACCATGTGATTTAACTTAGCAATTGTGTGAATATATGTTTGATAGTTTTAATTTCTTTTGTTATGAGTTATACTCTCTTCGTCCCATTAAGTCCACTTACCATTTTGGGATGTCCCAAAAAAAATCTCATTTTCCCTTTTGGAAAGTTTTGTGTGGCAAACATTCATTTACTTTTTTCTTACTCAACCACAAACATACATTTTCATTTTGTTGTCACTTTCTTAAACTGCGATCCAAGTCAAAGAGGGAAAAATGTTATGGCTCGAAGGGATCAAAGTACAATATTAGAGACATCTTCCATTATGATATTGCACCATATTCAGTGTCTGTCTACTACTACCCTCTGGACTTGTGTTTTAAAATATGTTTTATGTTTGATTATTTTTTACACGTTATAGATAAGAACACGTACACTCGATTTGTGTACAAATTCATATGTTTGATCTATTAGAATGTTTTCATATGATATAATTTGAATATATGCTATATTAGTGCTTTTTATTATGTATCTTGATGTTAATGAATCCATGTTCAATCTTTATTTAGCCGTTATTTGTAATCAATTGAACGAATGGTGTACCAATTACAACAGTAGCATAACTTGATCAACTACTCTTATTTGTATTGTCCTCCTTGAGTTGTTTATGGTAGATTCTATGGTACCCAAAAGGTACCATACCTTTGTCCACATGGACCAATGACAATGTAGCAGTGAAATTATTTAAATCTAAATTAAAAATGATAAAGTGATGTGGTCCAATCAAATAAATTGTAAGTACGGTACCCCATTTTTTAGAAGGGTACCAGAGTTGTCACCTTTGTTTATAATACAATGTGTATTATCTATGACATTTCATGTGTTTTATTCTTTAGAAATGTGTGTTTAATTAAGGTCAACAATCATTAAATTTTATAGTTATCGGATTATCTAAATGGTCATCAGGAACATGGTAAAACTAGTATTGATATCGAGTGTGGTTTTATTGATGAGCCATACATGAACTAACTCTAGTTAGGTAATAGCAAGATGGTGAGTTTATGTATGACTAAAAATGTACTCCGTTTTTTTACGTATATTTTAATATTTAAAACAAATAGGAAGAGTAGCATGCAAATGGTCAATGAATTAAAATGATCTTAATTAAGGCCCGTTTATTGTAGTGTTTTGATCAATTTTGGATATGATAGACTATATTTGACTATCGTTTGACTAGTTTGGCCTCGTTTGATCATATTTGACTATGTTTAGCCACTTTTAAATATGTTTGATATTGTTTAAATTAAGTTGACTCTGATGAGTCTGTATTGCTCATTTAAAAATTTAAATTGTGTTAATATTCTAATTCATATATGAGATGTGATAATAACACTTTAACTTTTTATTAAAAAAAATAATAACGAGTTTTGTAAAGTCTCCTTTGAATTTGGTACTAGCAAACTATGATTAGACCTAGGTACTAGAATTTAATAATTTTGTAACAAATCGTCAGACATAGTGCTAAGTCTACATTAATCGAGACATTGCGTACAAAGTGTTTTGGAATTAGTACTTCTGAAATTCAATTTTAGTACAAAGCGTTTCAGCATTAGTACTTCTGAAAATTCTGTTTTAGTACAAAGTGTCTTGGCATTAGTTCTTCTGTCAAATTCTTTTTTCGGGAGTCGTGCAACTTCAGTGATTATGATATCTTTCTGGACATGCTAGCGTGAATTTTATACCCCGGTGATAACGTATCCTTGTCTTCTGTTTCTAGTCTTGGTCTGAACTTGTGAGAAATAGCTTATAAACTTTGTAGTTTTATATAATATGAATCTTCACTCTACTGAATTATAATAGATGTACAAAGACCCTATATATATACAGGGAGAATCCTCTTCAGAAGGAAACTCTATTCTCAGGAAACTAAATCTCACAGAATATGGAATCTAGATCTGAAAGAATAAGGAAACTAGATCCCTGAGAATAAGGAAACAAAATCAAAGATAATTACACATTATTTGACAGAATATCTATCTAAATCTACACTCCCCCTCAAGTTGGGAGTATATATGTCAACTAAACCCAACTTGCTCACAATCCCATCAAAGCTAGGTTTGAATAGTCCTTTGGTGAGGATGTCTGCCACTTGTTGTGAAGTTGGAACATATGGTATGCATAAACTACTATTTTCTATCTTCTCTTTGATGAAGTGTCTATCAACTTCCACGTGTTTAGTCCTATCATGTTGTACAGGATTGTTTGCAATGCTGATGGCAGCCTTGTTGTCGCAATACAATTTTATAGGACATTCTAGAGGTAGATGGAGTTCCTTTAGTACTTGATTGAGCCAAATTCCTTCACAAATCCCGTTAGCCATAGCACGAAATTCTGCTTCAGCACTACTGCGAGCCACCACAGTTTGCTTCTTGCTGCGCCAAGTCACTAAATTTCCCCATATAAATGTGCAATATCCACTTCTTGATCTCCTGTCTGTGGTCGAGCCTGCCCAATCTGCATCAGTAAAAATTTCAACAGTTCTTTGAGCACTCTTCTCAAAAAATAATCCCTTTCCTGGAGATCCCTTAAGATATCTGAGAATACGGTATGCTGCATCCAAATGAGCTTGCTTAGGAGAATGCATAAACTGGGAGATGAGGCTAACACCAAAAGCAATATCAGGTCTTGTGTGTGATAAATATATCAGCTTCCCAACCAATCTTTGATACCTCCCCACATCAACTTCACACCTCCAATACCACAGAGTTTCTCATTTGGATCTATCGGCGTATCAACTGGTTTACAACCAGTCATGTGTGTATCAGAGAGTAAGTCCAGAATATATTTTTGTTGACTTGCAACAATTCCCTTCTTCGATCTCGCCACTTCCATTCCCAAGAAATACTTTAGTGGCCCCAAGTCTTTAATCTCAAATGCCGTGCTAGACTTCCCTTCAAATCATTAATTTCTTCAAAATCATCACCTGTGACAATGATATCGTCAACATATACTAGTAAAACAGTAATTTTCCCATTTCCTTTGCGTTTAAAGAATAAGGTGTGATCACTTTGTCCTTGGGAATATCCCTGCTGTTTAACAGAGCTTGTAAATCTTTCGAACCAAGCTCGAGGTGATTGCTTTAAGCCATAGAGGGCCTTCTTTAAGAGACACACTTGAGATCCAAACTCATTTTCAAAACCAGGAGGAACATGCATATAAACCTCCTCTGCAAGCTTCCCATTCAGGAATGCATTTTTTACATCTAATTGATGTAATGGCCAATCTAAGTTCACAGCAACTGATAGTAGGACTCTAACCGTATTGAGCTTCGCCACTGGGGCAAAGGTTTCTGTGTAGTCAATACCATAAGTTTGAGTGAACCCCTTTGCTACCAGTCTCGCTTTATACCTCTCAAGTGTTCCATCAGAGTTGTATTTGACTGTGAACAACCATTTACATCCCACTAATTTTTTCCCATCTGGAAGAGCAACTTTAACCCATGTCTGATTCTTCTTAAGAGCATTCATTTCCTCCAGAACTGTTGCCTTCCACTCAGGAATTTGTAAAGCTACTTGTATAGATTTTGGGAACTCCACACGATTAAGATGAGAGGTGAAACAAGAAAAAGAAGGAGACAGATTCTAAAGAGACACATAATTAGACATAGGATATTTAATAGTGCATTTTCTCACTCCTTTTCTAAGGGCAACAGGCATATCAACTTCAGAAGGATTGAGATTAGAATCAAGAGTTAATGGAATTGGATCAGGAGAAACTTTACCTGTCTGTGGGGATTCGTCTTGGTTGTGCATGGGAATGTTTGGCTGTACACCCTTCGGTGGACGTTTTCTAGAGCATGTTTGTCCAAATCTCTTGTCATATATTGAAGTATGTTGTAAATCATCAGGACTTTTAGTTATGGCAGATTCATGAGGGGTGATTTCATTTGAAATATCATTATCTAAGTTAAGATTCAAAAAATCTAAATCACCTACACTCACTGAAGCTTCTTGACTCCCCCTACATAAAGGCTCCCCCTGAAGCTGAAGTTGAGGGGAAAAGAACGGTGATCTCTCAAAGAAATTGCAATCCATGGAGACAAAATATTTTTTTGAGACCGGGTCATAACATTTATAGCCTTTTTGAGAGGCTGAATATCCAAGAAAAATGCATTTTATTGCACGCGGATCAAGTTTAGACTTAGTTTTATCCCGATTAGACACAAACACAGTGCAGCCGAATATTTTGAAGGGTAAATTTACAAACGGTTTAAGATCACAATTAAACTCATGAATTTTTTGGATAGGAGTTTGAAAAGATAAAGGTTTAGAGGGCATGCGATTAATCAAGTAAACAGCAGTTAAAAGGGCATCTCCCCAAAAATATTTAGGAACATGATTAGCTAGTAATAATGCTCGTGTGATTTCAAGTAGGTGTCTATTTTTCCTTTCCGCCACACCATTTTGTTGTGGCGTATCAACACATGAGCTTTGTTGGATCATTCCCTTTTCATTGAAAAACTGAGTCAGGGTATTAGAAAAATACTCCCGACCATTGTCACTACGAAATATTTTAATCTTCTCATTAAATTGAACTTGGACCATGTTGTAGAATTTTCTGAAAATATCGACTACTTCATGTTTGTCTTTCATCAGAAATAACCAAGTAAGACACGTATGATCGTCAATAAAAGTGACAAACCACCTTTTACCAGAAGAAGTAGGGATCCTAGATGGACCCCAAATATCACTATGAATTAATTGAAAGGGTTTAGAGGGAATATAAATACGAGAAGGATAAGAAGACTTGTGATGTTTAGCTAAAGCACACGCTTCACATTTAAAAAAAGATGGATCTTTATTGATGAATACTCAGGTAACAATCGTTTCAAATAAAAAAAACTAGGATGACCCATACGAAAATGCCATAACATAATATCTTGATCAGTAGACACAGACTCTAATTTATGAGGAGATTCTTGGGCAACCATACTTGAAGGCAGTCCATCTTCAAGATAATACAGCCCGTCGCACTCCCTAGCACTGCCAATCATCCTCCCCGAGTTCAGGTCCTGGAAATAGCACATAGAGGGTGAGAAAATAGCTAGACAATTTAGCTCACAGGTTATTTTGCTAATGGATAGCAAGCTACATGACAATTTAGGGACATGAAAAACTTTAGAAAGAGTGATAGGTGGAGAAATTTGAATTGTCCCTCTGCTAGCAATTGCAGCAAGAGAGCCATTAGCAATTTTCACTTTGTTATTCCCTGCTGCAGGTTCATAGGAAGAAAATAATTGCGAACAATGTGTCATATGATTCGTAGCCCCAGAATCAATGATCCAAGAACTCGAAGGAGTGGAGCAAACAAAAGCGGAAGGAATACCTTTCTGGGCTGGAGCAGGGGAAGAAGATGAATTAAGTGTGAATTGTGGAGAGTTAAAAAGCTTATACAGGTGCTGTAGTTGTTCCTGAGTGAAAGGTAGTGGTTCTGGAGAAGCTGTTTTTTCTTCAGAAGTTTCAGCCATGGCAATAGTAGCTCTCCCGTCCCCCTTCTTTTTTGTAGACGATGGTTTCCCATGAAGCTTGTAGTATTTATCCTTTGTGTGCCACAACTTCCCACAGAAATCACAAGAGAATGGCGTTTTCTTGTCACCTGCACCATTAAAACGCTTTGAAACCAAAGTCATGTTGTCGCTCTCTGGAATTGAGGGAGCATGGTCATACATCACCCTTTTTCGTGCCTCTTCCTGGCGAAGTTCAGAAAAAACAGTCCTGACCGTTGGTAGGGGCTTACGGCCAAGAACTCTTCCTTTAGTTTCGTCAAAACTGTGATTTGCGCCAGCAAGAAACATGAAGACACGATCATCTTCCTCTCTGCGTTTTGCACGTACAAGATCTTTTGGATTTTCCCAAACGTCATCATTATAGCATAAATCCAACTCCTGCCACAGAGAGAGCATCTCATTGAAATAAGTAGTGATGTCTCTGTCACCTTGTTTAGAGAGCCAAAGTTTTTTCTTCAACTCAAATATTTGAGATGAATCGCCACGATTAGAGTATGCCTCACGAACAGCATCCCATATATCCTTAGGATCCATATACATGAACGGCCGACGGATCCGTTCGTCCATGGAATTGAGCAGCCAACCAGCAATCAGGGAGTTGGCAGATCGCCATCGCCGGAAAGAAGGGTCAGTTGGTATAACTAAGTGCTTTTTTAACACTTTTATCTTAGTGATCCGTTAGAGTATGCCTCACGAACAGCATCCCATATATCCTTAGGAGAGTCCATTAAAAAGTGCTTTTTTTTAATGAAATGGAGAGAAGTGATTAAATAAAAGTTGAAAGTGTTTGAGAAAAAAGTGATTTTGAAAAGTAAAAGTGGGTAGTGTTTGGTAAAATAAGTGCTTTTTGTGTAATAGAAAAAGTAAAAACACTTTTGACGCGGAAGCCGAGAAAAATAAAAGTTGCAGTGTTAGGGAAAATAAGTGCTTTTTTAAAGCCAAAAGTTGAGAAGTGCCTTTTTAAAAGCAATTGCAAACCAACCCTTACTAACACCTCTAAAAACTTTTAATTTTTCTCCCAAACAAGTGTTCAAATTAACACTCTTTAACATTCCATTACTAGCCCCTCCCAATACTCAATCCAAACATGCAGGCCGGAAGAGACGCAGACCAAAATCCCTATTACCGTTCTTCACCCTTCAGGTCAAACAATTTGGGAGAGTGCTGAGAAGCTTGTAGAGCGGTAACGAGATCAACTCCCTTCTTCGTACAGGGATTCCATGGCCGCGCGAAGATGGAGGATTATCGATCCCCAGCAACTCGTCTCCCGTATCCTCTTCTCAAACAGATAACAGAGCATCTCCCTGCCAAATTCTCAACCAGAAAGATTTTTTCTTCTTCTAAAAAATAATTAGGTAAATCTGACCAAGCCTACTGAGTTCAGTCATTAGATCGAATTTGTTACCTTTCTACTATGCTTAATTCGATCTAGTTTGTTACCTTTCTCTGCTTAAAATTTCTATTCGGCTATCACAGATTGCCTTTCTCTCCATCATTTTCTCTTCGTAAGTTCCGTTTTCTATCCATACTTTTTCGTTTGTTCAGGTTTGTTCAAGTTCTCGCTGATTTAGGTAAGCTTAATTTTTATTTTATTTTATGCACTTACATCAAATACTTTGATGTTGTGGTATCCCATGTTTCGGGATATGCACTTTGCTTGTAACATTGACTTGATATTTCTTTGGGTGTTAATATATACTTACATTTCATCCAAAAAAAAAAAAGAACCACATATGCATACATGGATCTTGCACACTCTACTAAATGATGTCAGGTGGTTGTTCAGGAGATATCATTGTTTCATCAAAGTGTAAGTATAGCAAGACCAATTATTAGTGGGAATTTTGATTTATGGTAAGTCAGTTGGTGATTTATGTGTGCATATACACACATGTGATATTTGTTTAGGTTGAACTTTGCTTACAGGAGCTGGAAAAACTGATACATGACCAAGAAACATTCTGAAGCTCTCTTTTGCAATAGTCACTACTAGAAAAATGGCTTACAGTGACACTATTATAGTGACACTTTCTAATAAAATGTCACCACTGACATCAAAGTGTCGCTGTTTTGTAACAAAAATGCATGAGTATCACTTAGTGACACTCCTACATTCTTTACGGAGTATAATTATAAAAGCGCGTCACTGTTCATATTAGTTATGGGCCGGCCCAGAGTTTATTATATGGAGTAATACACTTGATCTTTTTTTCTCTCCTGTTTCAGCTTTCCTTCAACTTTTCTTGGCCATGTCTTGTGACTGCATCTGCTCTACCATCTACAAGTACTTTCTTTCTGCGAATTGACTGCAGGTCATTACTCCTCCACCTTCTACCACTATTTCTGCATATGAGAAACTTCATATCCAATCGATGGCGTTTCCTCTGCTACGTGCGCATGTGATTGCCGGACCTGACAGGGATAGGGTCGTCGTTTCCTTTGCTAGGGTTCCTCACCAATTGGGGGCGGGGTCAACTGCTGGAGTACATATACGCCGACGGATGGTTGGCCTAGACAGTTGGATGATGTCGACACTCGTCTCCTCAGAACCCTCTCTCATCTTAACCCTATCCCCTTCTTGCATTCTCGGCCAGATATTTTCTCCCTGGTCAAGCAGTAGTCGCCTAAGCTCCCAACATTCTCAGTACCGAGCGAACTTTTAGGTATGTAATTGATTGAGATTTTATTCAATACCAGAGTCCACTACTGAGTGAACTGCTAGTTACATCTGAGATTCTCTTCATGTCTATGTTTGTAGTTATATCATTAACTCCTTGAATACTCTTCATGTCTACGTCTAAACGGTTTATTTGAGTTTGCTTTTATGTCTACTATGTTCTTATGCATATCACGTATTTGTTAAAATTCTTGAATAGTTTACACTAATGTTTGTTCGCATTTACTTTGGGAGCAGAGAAACTGGAAGTTATTAAGCTTACTATACAATGCCCTTTTAACATTTAATTGTTAAAATAATGGATAGCGGCTAGGCGGCTGCCCTCCGCCGGCTTCACGACTTCCTCCACCGTACCTCGTGACTTTTCTCCACAACCTGAGCAAGTGGATGGACTGCAGAAGAATGCATGGCTGCCTGCACGCTGGTATAGAGAATTGGAGTCCGTCCATGGACAATTAGTTGCTTATATATATTTCTTCATGACATGAGATGTTGAAATTGTTGTTTATTGAGCTTCAGACCAATATGGGAAGGTGCTTACAGTGAATGTGATGATGATGATTTCAAATTGACAAGCAACTTGAAACTTTTTGTCTAGCTAGAGAACTGGGAGCAGATTGTTAGAACTTTTATTGTGGGTCAAGTTTGTCTGTAATGTCTTGTTTAAATAAAGTAGACTAGTTATACCATTTATGGTATTAGATTAGTATTTATTATGTAGCAAATAAGGTAAAGGGAATAAGGCCCAAAAAGGCCTTGGCCCAACTTCCAAGGTTTACCTAAATCGGTAACCTGTACAGCGCCTATAAATATGCGCCTTGTGTACAGGTACCGATATCGATCAATACACATTAGCCTTACGCTGCCAAATTTACTTCTCGATACTACAGAAAGAAGGTTTCACTGTTCTCGATAAAGCTTATATCATTATATGAAATCTTTCTCTTCTGTCTATCGATGATGCTCATCTAGCTGATCGTTAGTCTGCTGAACTGGGACCAACAACTGGTATCAAAGCCTGCTCGAGTGTGATCGTCGAAGAAAAGTTTTCGAAGTTTCTCTGTTTTCATACTTTTCGATATATTTCTTTGTAATCACTGTAATCTTGTTTCTGATCGATAAACTGTAAAAGTTATATCATTGGATTCGCCATTCAGAAACGAACCAAGGGTATATCTTACTTTTCGATTTCAGTAGATTCGGTATTTTTGATTTCTCGATAGTATGAGTTCGAAAAGCAGGGTTCTCGACATTTAAGCAGGTTTTTCAGGACGATAACTATACAGGAAGACTCTCGAGATCGAAAACTTCACAGAAAAGTTGTTTAAACTGTTTTAATCTGAAATTTTGATTTGCAGGATTTCGATACTACGTTCTCGATACAAGTTCTCGAACTGAGTTCTCGAGATTGCTTTCTCGACACTCAGTTTTCGATACTAAATATCTAAAACTCTGTTTTTTCGAATTGCAGGTTCTCGATACAGCTTCTCGACACTCAGTTCTCGAAACTAAGTTCTCGAACTTAGCTTCTCGATACTGAAGTTCTCGATACAGCTTCTCGAATCCTGCTTCTCGATAAACAGTTTCTCGATATTCACTATCGAAAACTGGTTCTCGATAGAACTTCTCGAACCCTAGTTTTCGAATTTTTTTCTTGAATTAGGTTTTCGACATTCTGCATCTTAAATTTTTTTCTGATCAAAACACTCGACCGATCTGTTAAGGCTCAATCAGCAAAGATGGAAGCATTAGCACTTGGAAATGACAACAGACCACCCATCCTCAGAAAAGGAGAATATCAGATGTGGAAGACAAGATTCTTGAACTTTCTGGAAGGGAAAGACAATTCATCTGCCATGCTTGAATCACTTACACAAGGTCCTGCTGAGATCTATACTGAAGTAGATACCTCAGATGTAAACAACCCCCCTGTCAACTATGTGAAAAGATTGAAGACAAAAGGCGAATACACTGAGGCTGACAAGTTGAGAATCAAAGCTGATCTCATGGCAAAAACTTACCTGCTGCAGGCTATCCCCAATGATATCTACATTCTGATAGACAGCATGGAGACAGCAAAGGAAATGTGGGATGAGGTGAAGAAGTTAATGATTGGAACTGATCTTGGTTTGAAGACAAAGAAAGCGAACATCTTGACCGCCTATGACGCTTTTAAAGCCCTACCTGGTGAGGCGCTCCATGAGACGTATAACAGATTCGTACAACTGATCAATGAGATGAGGAAGATCAAAGTTGTCAAATCTAATATGGAAATGAACATACGTTTCTTGTCGAGCCTGCC